TGAATTTCTCAACCCAGGCTTGGGAAAATTTCTTTAACCCATGTAAGAACTTCCTCAATTGACACAGCAACCATGGCTCCTCTTGAGCAACATATTCGAGGGGTTGCACTGGGTAAATGATCCCTTTATTTTGCCATATGGAAATTCATTCTTACTGTCTAGTTGGTGCAAGGCCAAGTGATAGGTAGCATCCAAGAAAATGAACCCTCAAATAAAGGTGATTTTGAGTGTTTTAGAAGTCTATGTTGCATAGTTGGATAAAGCCCATGGCAACTAACATGGCTTTTTGGTGATTGGTGCCGTTGGAATTAACTTTCTTAGCAAATACCGGACTGTATATAGTGTTCTCCAGGAGACCTTTTACTGGATCCCGAGCATAATTGTCCTCAATTTAAATATTCTATTCTCCATTGCCCATTCCTGTTTAGGATGAGAGAGATCCTTCCATTAAAGAATGAAAAAGAGTCCTTGATACCGAGTTGACTTGATACCGAGTACAAACTCTGGCTCCAGCTTTTGTTGGTCAAGAATTATTCTAATTGATGGCTTTTTCACTGTTTATTCTTTTCCTGAAAGCATGTAAACAGTTGAGATTGTAAATACTCAGCTTCATTGAGTAAACATTTCATTTGCTAATCTGTATTCTTATTTCTTTTTGGACAGCTTAGAGTTGGTCAAGCTATTTATTTAACTGGCAGTCTGTTCAACCATTCCTGCCAGCCAAACATCCATGCATATTTTCTTTCACGTAAACTTTTCGTAAGGGCCACAGAGTTTGTGGCAGTAGGTTGTCCTCTCGAGTTGTCATATGGTCCGGAGGTACTTACATTACTCTATTGATGTCATTTTGCTGTGTTTTCAAGAGTGTTAATGCTTTTATAGTAATTTTGGAATGCCGAACCTTAAAGGAAACAGAGTTTTAACTTTTGCGATTGTGTTTTACAGGTTGGAAAGTTGAACTGTAAAGATCGTGATAGGTTTCTTGAAGATGAATACTTCTTTGAGTGTCGGTGCCGTGGTTGTTCTGAAGTTAATATATCTGATCTTCTTATGGATGGGTTTTGTTGTAGTAATCCTAATTGTTCTGGCGTTGTTCTGGATAGCAATGTTTGTAGCTTTGAAGAACAGAAGTTTCAGCACTTCTATACTGTTTCTAAAAGAAGCTGCCAAAGGCACCATTTGCTGGTAATTTAATCCTATTCTGATGTAAATCTTGGGTAAGAATAAGACACTTCTAGCATTTGGCCTTGCAGTTGCATCCCAAAATTTTCAACTCATTACCAAGTTGATGGCACACCAAGTAGTTTTGCCTGGTTGTCAGTATAATTAGCATTTAAAACTTCTTCGGAAAATCACTTGAAAACAATTACTTGCAACAAACTCAGTTATAAACACCCTGATGATTTGAATTTCTGTTGTTGCCATTTCTTCTTAAGAGTCAAGCCCGGTGGTGGTGTACTTTAAAACTGTCAGTGTATCACATCTTCGGAAATCTTTTACGGGCCATTATGATTTGTTTTAAGGTTCATAAGATTAGAGTTATTTCAGTTTGCTTGTACTGACTAAATCTTATGAATTTTAAAGGTGAGTAAAAACTATAATTTTGACATTAATGATGTGGCTGAGCTTTTACTTGAGAGAAAAAAAGGCTCGCTTCGTGTCACTCCTGGGTCTTGTTTGAAATGTGGCAACTATCGTGATCTGAAATATTCTCATGCAGCAGTGGAAAAAGCTTTAATTTACATCGAAAGGTATGTTGAATTACCATATTTATGATATACTGCAGCATATTATTAATTTAACAAAGCAACTGATTAGTTTGGTCTGTCTTTTATCCCTTTTTTGTGTGGAAAACTCTTGCTTATTCTTAATCGAAGCAAGTATACATTCATTTTTAACCAAATCATAAAACAAATTTCCCTTCTGATTTCTTGTCCGTGTCTATAGAAATAAAGCGGACCTTCTATCAATATGTAATTCTGTTCTGTTCTCGACAGGTTGCAGGATTCAGTTTTGTCCTGCGAAATCTCAGTTACTACACTTTCAGATGCGTTGCGATCTCTTGATGTGCTCAAATCTGTATTACATGCATGCAGCAAGGGCATTGCGGAAGTGAGTTCTACCTTATTTTAGCAATTTGTACATGTTTTATAAGGCATATTGATCAATTGTTATGTTACTAAATTGATGTTTCCTGTACTGGTCTTTAAGTCTTGAGGGGAAATTTAGCTATAAGTTTGTGATTGAAGTATAAGAAAAGAAAATGCCTCCTAGAAGTGATTTTAAAAATAAATTTAAACAATAAATTGGAGCGTTTCTTACTACTTTAAACTCATATAAAATTAGTTATAATTTATTATTAAACTAGATTTTTGTCGTACATTACAGATGGGAGTGTAAATTTAGTAGAATTCTTAATTAATCAGATCTAGTTTCATTTGAATTTTTAATTATATAATTAGAAAATTTTAATTAAATATTATTAATTTCAGTAGTAATTTTAAATAAACATACAGTAAAATTTTTAATATATATTTTTAATTGTTGTAAAATTTTTAATTAGACAGTTTGTAAAGTTTTTAATTAGATAGGTTTAGTTTTAGCAAATTTTATTAGTAAGATGGTAAAATTTTTAACTAGATAGTTTCAATATTTATAGAATTTTTAGTTAGACAAGTTTTCTTTTAGCATAACATTTAATTAAATGGTTAATAAATTTTCAATTAAATTGTTCTAATTTTAATAGAATTTTTAGTTTGGCAGTTTACATAATTGCAATACATAAAATTTTTAATGAGACAATGAATAGAATTCTGATTTGTCAGTTTTAATTTCAGTAAAATTTATTATTAATAGGTAATGGATTTTTGATTTATTAAAATGTTTATACAGAAAATATCTCAAATAAATTAACTATTTAACATTATCTATGTCAGTTGTAAAACTTTTGAAAATTTTAATCATAATCTTTTCTAAAATATGGTTTTAGTTAAACTTTATCTTTAGAAACATGAAGCCAGTTCTAGTTAAACACTTCCTAATCCTAACTTTAAAAATTGTTTAAGTGAAATCTGAAATCCAATTCTACTTTTGTGGGATCCTAAGTTTAAAAATTTATTTGGGTCAAGTTCAGTATATTTATAAATTTATTTATATATTCATTTAAAATTTCAATTTTAATTAAAGAGTAATTTTTTTGAAATAATTAAGTAAAGTGTAATTTCAATGTATGTGAACAATGGTTATTACTTTACTAATATTATTGATATGATATCGGAGCCTCAAAATTGGGTTTCTTCCAGTTGACATGCAGTTCCATTTGGGGATGGGAAGTGTTGAAATACAATATGAAAAATAATGATGCAGAACCCTGTTAGCTATAGAAAGTTGATCATAATTCCTTCTAAGAGATTTGTTTTTATATTTGTTGACCTAGTTCACAAACACTTTGTAAGCGCTGCATCCTTGTATATATAGACAATTTATTAATGGCTTGGGTATTTATACCATGTTTATGACCTAGTCCACAAACACTTTGTAAGTGTTGCATCCTTGTATATATAGACGATAAATTAATGGTTTGGGTATTTATACCATGTTTTTGACCTATTTCACTAACACTTTGTAAGCATCGCGTCCTTGTATATGTAGACAATATATTAATGGTTTGGGTTTACTTTTGGCCATATCTTTGTCTTACTTGCTTTGAAGAAAATTTCAATAGTTCATTTGTTTTGTTACACTCCAAAACAGAATCTTGATTTTGGGTGTGATAAAAAGTATACTTTTTGAAAGAGACTGGCAAACTGGCATGTAAACCTATTGGTACTCCAATTAAACTCTAATCACAAATTGGGATTAGTGGAAGAACACAAATGTTAATAAGGAAATTTGCCAAAGACTAGTTGAAAAACTAATATACCTGTCACTCACCTGACTGAATATCGCCTATATGGTAAGCATGATAAGCCAATTTACGCGCAAGTCCAAGGAGGTACACTTATAAGTTGCATATCAGGTACGACTGGGTGACGGTGCGCAGATTGGATGCAGGCAACTGGCTGGCAGGTGCACGGCTAAAGACTTGTGAGTTTGCACAGGTGCAGGGAGGCTACGGCAGTGGTGCCTGGACAGGGCAGCTGCCTCTGGAATCGGCTAAGAGTGGATCTGCATGCAACTGATGTGTGTTTGTGGCAGATAATGCTCTTGAAATGGCTAACTGGGAGGCTGTGCAGAAGGTGGCGCAGCTGGAGGATTTGGTCTTACAGTAGGGCTTGGTGGATACTGGCCGGGCTTTGGTGGATACTGGCCGGGCTTTGGTGGTTAGCTGCTATAATGGTGGTGGTTGACTATTAAGGCTAGCCTCCTTAGAGTTTTTTTTTTTAAATTTCGGCAATGGAAACTGATTAGAATTTGTAAAAAGGAATTTGAGTTTCTTTCCTAGAGCTCTAGAACCTTTTCAGGAATAATGTGTTGTTTTTATTATTGAATAATATGCCCCAATATATACAAGTTCTCTAGTGGAAGAAAAAAAACTGAAGATTAATTATGTATTACTTATCTTACCACAATGTCCTTTAACTTAATTCTCCTATATTAATTACATATAAAATACATTCTTCAACAAATCTCTCTAATATGGGCACTTAATTATTGGTCCAAATCCTCTCTCGGCCCTTAATCAGGTTCTGATCATCTTGGCACGTAATTGCAAATTAGAATCCCATATTTCCACACCTTTTAAGAGATTTGTTTTAATTTTTTTTATTAGGAAATAGTAGCTTTTAGGCGATTATTTAAAAAATTCTGGAAACTTTGATATGTTTTCCTGGTAGTTATTTTCCTTTTTATTTACTATTAGAACCTATAGATGTCTCTAACCAACAATTTATGAAATTGAAAATTTTCTAACGAATTTTCTTTTTGAGGAAACTTTTCTAGTGAATTTGGGTTGATGTTTCTATCAATTATTCTTTCTCTATCTTATTCTTCATGCCTCTCTAGTATTCATTTCTTTTTCCTCTATGTCTTCACCTTTATCCATTTTTTTCTCTTTATCTATCTATCCTTCAATTGTCTTTCTCATATTTTCCTTTTATTCCTCGATGTTGTAGGATAATTGTGGTTCTGCCATTAATCGTATATCAAATAAATGGAATAACTTCTTTAGTAGTCTAAGCTTCTGGGAGAAGTTGTTACAAGTAATTAATAGTTGTGAGCATGAATGAATATTGGAATTGTATTTGTCTTTTCGAGCAGAGCAGTTTAGTTGTTCCATAGTGAAAAGAACCTTAAATAGATGGTGCACTTTCAGGTGGAGGACAACATTGCGCAGGCATCTTGTTTACTTGGTGATCTACAAGCTGCACGGAAGCATTGTAAAGCATCGATTGAGGTAAACCTTCACCGGTTTAACTTTTTTTTTTTAATGTTCACATTAGTAGATCTAACATCAAGCATGAAGTCGCATCAAAATAATCTAATAGTTAGTGTAGCTCTGAAATTAGTTACTCATGCTTATTAATTATCTTTGTGCTTACTCTACATCAATTCCATCCAAGTTATATAATTTAAAGCTAGATGCAATAACTTGAATAGGATTTATTCTATAAGTTCATACCTCTGTTTCCTAGAGTTCTAAGGAGACAAAATCTCAAGTCTGAGGGATGAATCGTAATCGTGTAATCAGAGTGTGATTAATGGCAGAGGTGGTTTTGAACCGTTGATGCTGTAAATGATCGTTCTAAATTGGATTTGATCTTGACTGGGGTGGTCACCCAGTTATCTGACAGACCAATCAAAAATAAAGCTAGATGCAATAACAATTTGATATCAGAAGATGCAGAAAAGTTAAGAAAACATGACACAGCAATAACTAGTACTCTAGAGGCATGTTTGATTTGTCTAATCACCTTCCAGGTTATGTGTATTTGATACAAGATATAATAGATGCTAGGTTTAGGTTACAAGAGGGTAGCCTTAATAATTGGTAAATTATTTTTTGCTTTTGGTTAAAGTTCAATGGAATCACTAATTAGGTTCATCATTTAGATCACAAGCAGTAGTGTTTAGTATTTCTTAGATGACAGACATTACCTTTTTTTAAATAATTAGCATACTTTAAACACAAATAGTTATCAAATCTATTGCTAATTAATGTTGGAAGAAGAGAACTTGAGTACAAGACTGCAGGAAAATTTATTAGGAACCGAGACTAGAATATAAGATCTTAATAATCAAATTAATAAGTCAAAGTTTGAATAATAGTTATATGAACAATTTACCTAATAACTAAGTATTGTATTGTATTTATAGGCACCAATATACAATCAAAATTATAAAATTTTCTATTTAAGAATTCTATTAAATAGAAGATAACTAATTAATTAAATAACCTATAATAGATAATAACCAAATAGCATTCTAACAAAATAAGAAACAATAAACTCATACTAATAACTCTATATAGTCCCAAACTATGAATTCATTAGGTAAATTACCAATTTGGGCCCCAAACTTTGGCCTATGATAAAATTTACTTTTTCGTTACAATTCAGTCCCAAACTTTTAAATTTGTTTCAAAAGACACTTTAAAGAAAGTTAAACAACACTAAAAAATTTAAATGGAAAAAGTGGAAGTTGTTTGGACAAAAGACTTCTTTCTCAGTTAAAAATAATAATTAAATCAGTTTTAGCTTAAAAAAGCTAACACTTATCATCTTCTTCGCTAGAGAGAGAGAGAAGCTTAGAGATATAGAAAGAAGAAGAGAATTTGCAGTTTTTGAAATTTGACTCTTCAAGACACAACCATAGGTCTAGGCGCTAGGCCAGCACATGCATTTTCTTCTCCGTTTATGAGATCTGCAAGAAGTCCTCTGCCAGGAACTCCAACAATCCTGCTGCTCACAGCAAATTAGAGAGGTCTTCCCCACTGTCGCAATTGACACTACTTTAACTCTGATCAGGATATGGTGAAGCAGAGGCTGCAATTGGGGGAGCACAACTCCTACAAGGGCATGACTGTTATTTGCAACTTTGCTATTTTCCGGGTTTGAAAAAATAAGGCAATAAGCATCTTCATGATGACTGTTATTTTTTAGTTTTACACGTTTGCTTGCATTAGGGTTTTGACAATGTTGAGGATGAGAAGGGAGGATGAAAGGAGGAGGAAGAGAATTTTTTTGAAATATTGACAGATGCTGAGGAATAAATGTTGTCCATCCCCAGTTTGCCAATAGGAGTTTGGAATGCTGAATGATTTAAAACCCTTAGTTAATAAATCCATTAGTTGAGAATTGGTAAGCATATATAGGGTACATATCAAATCGTTATCAAGTTTTCTTTTTGTATAAATGTTTATTGATCTTAATGTATTTGGTCTAATCATGTCGCACCGAATTATCAGTGATACTTATGGTTTATTTATTATCATAGTATAGGTACATAAGGTTTTTCCACTTTATTTTAAGATCTTCCAAAATTCTTTTTATCTATAATAGTTCACATACTTATGTGTCATCGCCTGAAATTATGATTCTGCACTTAATTTCACAACTATATTTTGTTTTTTACTATCAAATGACTAGATTGTCTCAAAGGACGATACAGTATCCTTTGGTAGACATTTTGTTTACAACTAATTCTATATAATTTGCATAAGTATAGGCTTTTAGACGTAGTTTATCACTTTTCCTGAACATAATTTCTTTTTTAAATAGCCCTTTAAGGTAATGTAGTATTTTTTAGGTTACTTGTAGGTGTATTTCTTTTGGACTTTACATTAATTAACTTGTGACACTCACTGCATAGACAATGTCTATTCTCATAGGATAGGTTTATCAATCTCCAAACCAATCTCTAAATTTTCTTGTTCGTTGGTGTATTTTCTTCTAGTTTTCTTAATTTGTGATTAGGATTAACAGGAGTGCTAGTTGGTTTACTAACTAACTTCCTGATGTTCCTTAATAGGTCATGAATGTATTTATGGTGAGAAATAAAAATTCCGAATTTTGAATGAATGACTTCAATTTTTAAAAAATATTTCAATTTATCAAGTTCTTTGATTTCAAATTCTTTTGCTAGGCACTATTTCAATATCAATTTTTTTCAACTGTTTCAATTCAATTTTTCTTTCTCATCATCTCTTGTTACGATAATGTCATCAATGTATATTAGGTGAGCTGCAACTTCCCCTGTCTCTGAGTGTTTGATGAACATGGTATTGTTTCCTTAAGTTTGTTTAAATCCCATATCAAGTACCACTATTGCAAACTTGCCAAACCATGCTCTTGACAATGTTTGAGTTTATATAGTCTTTTTTAGTTTAGATACCTTATTTTGTCATGCTTCTCAGTCAAAGTCTAGTGGAATATGCATGTAGATTTATTCTTATAAACCTCCATACAAGAAGACAAAATGAGTAGTTAATAACAATAAGATTCGTCACATTATTCATCTTGTCTATTGGTGCAAATGTCTCCTAGTAATTTATCCTATATGTATGTGTATAGTCATTTTCTACCAACCTTGTTTTATACTCATTGACTGTCCATCTGCCTGATATTTGATGGTAAAGATCCGTTTGCATCCCACCGGTTTATTGCTGTTGGGTAGATTTATTATTTCTCATGTTTGATTTTTTTCAAGTGTCTGCATTTTTATATTCATAGTATTTTTCTGTTTTTCACAAGATAATGTTTTATTTTAGATATTATATTAGGAATAAACTCAGCATTTAAGTTTTATGGGACAATGAATACTTATTAAATGACAAACTATGAAATAGGATAAAGAGAATGCTTAATATATTATCTTGTACCTTTACGAAGTACAATAACTATATCATTATGAGACTATATAAGTTTTTTTAGACTTACCTCAGTTCTACTATAAAGTTCGGATTCTTGGATTGGCTTAGACTTAGTACTTGACATCTTCCTCCTTGTATACACCTTAGAAAATCTAGGGTCTGGTATGATCTCCTGAGCAGATGAATTTTATGGCGTTTTGCGGCTCTCTTGTGGTGATGGGATTGAGGTTTGTGACCAAATGTTGTGGTAAAGTCAGTAAGTTAAAGTTTGTTAAAAATTATATATCTTTATCTTCCAATATAAGGTTCTCCTAAAGATAAAGTTGGGTGAAGTAGAATTCTCATTCAACAAATAAAACACCTGCAGACACAGAATTTTTTGGTGCAGTTGATAATATTTGTACTCTTTTTGACATGGAGTAATCCATAAATATACGTTTCAAGATCCAAGGATCAAGTTTTTCTCTTTGAATATGAACGAAGGTAATACACCCAAAGATCCAAGGAATGAATATGAACGAAGGTAATACACCCAAATATCAGAGAGATCAGATGGTTTGAAATGTTTCTAGAGGACTTTTGAAATCAAGAACGTTAGTGGTTAGATAGTTAACAATGTAGGTGGCAGTGAGGAGATCGCTTTGGCCCAATATTGTTCGTGAATGTTGTTTTGTTAAAGGAAAGTTCTAGTGATGGCTA